AAAGTTCTTGCTCATTTCTGGGTGTAGTATAGCAGGAATTCTCTTCCCAAGAAGGGGAAGGAAGGTAGAATAGACTTGGGAAAAGGAGGAGGTGATTTTTGTCCTGAATTCACATTCTAGCCAGGGAAAACACAAGCACACAATCTTTAGAAGCATGCCAAAAATCTGGTCAAATGAAAGAAGGAAGTTAAGAAGTATAAAATACACTGGCCACCTGGTGTCCCAGCTCTCCAATTTTCTGACCCTTTCCAGTCATTTTTTTCCTGTTAGTTTTGCATAGAGCACAAACATAGAGAGTGAAGGGGGCCATAGTGTGATTATGCTTACCCTGTGCCGAATGTGTGTCCAGAGCAGCCTGGCACCTTGACGAATGCTGGCTTCGAGGTACTACTACTGCATTGTCACACTGAGCTGCAATAAAGCAATGTGGAGAAACCCATCAAAGGGTGTCTATGTGGGGAATACAGTGCCACCAGGGAAGGATCTGAGAAACTGTGTAGAATGTCACAGAACTGACAGACCAGGAGAAGGGAAGGAAGCGATGGGTCCACCAACTCTAGTCAGTCAGAGTGGCTTTCCTTAGCAGCTTATTTCAAGTCCTAAACTTCCCCACACCATTTGTTCTCCACCCCAGCACCCCGTGGCGTCAGAAGGATCATGCCCTTGTTTATGTCTGCATTTCCTGTCTACTGCCGGTCTGCCCTCTGCCAAGTATAAGCCGCAGGTGGTGTGGGCTTGTCCACTGGGCTCGCTGCTGCGGCCCTAGCATCAAGAATCACGTAGACAGGGCCAATACGTACTCTATGACTGGATGAAGTGGTTCATCCAGACAGAAAGCTGTTTAAGGGCACTACTCCCTCTTTCCCACAAGTAACACCGACTTAGGGGCTTTGCATATACGTTTTCTTAAAGTAGGACCTAACAAATCTCCTAACTTTAGCAATCTCACAAGCAGCAGAATTAGGATTCAGTCTTCAGCCCCATCCAACTCCCTAACCTAGTCTGCATTCCCTTTGCCCACAGCACGATGGACATTTTAGGGACTGCAAAGTCCATGACAGTAAATGAATGAATAAATAAGTCAATATACACACATGCACATTTGTTATATATTTACTTATATAGAGACATTTGTTCACACTATATACTTATTACATATGCTTATTTTATACAGTACATGAATTAAACATCTTTAATTCTGAGAAATGGGTAACAAAAGTACTTTCTGCACCTCGAGAATGATCAGCTGCGCATAGTCTGGGACATCAACAGGCATAGATTCTATTTCTGGACGCTAATTAGCTGGATAACCTTGGGCGTGCTCTGCAGCCTTGTTGTCTTTTACAGGAGGAGGAAGCCGGGATCTGGGGTGTCAGAGGCACACAGGCAAATTCTACACGTGGGAACTGGCTCATGCCCAGCACATGAGGGGCACCGTCAGGGGTGAGACAGTGAGAAAAGAAATTCAAGCCCAACCCACTGTTCTGTAGGTAAAGTACTTGAATTGGTATGCATGAAAACGCCATTCAACAGCTGATTACGGGGTTTTAAGAAGTACTCTGCAAAGCCATTAAGTAACTTGGCCTTTGGGGATTTTTAAATTTTTATTTTACAGCTGCTTCACTTGAAACTTCAATGATTACTTTAAGGTCTGAGGTTTGGGGAAAGTATTCGTACTTCACCCCGAAAAACCGAATATGCGATTGTTTTCTGTGACGAGCACCATAGAAATCCAATTAGGAGATCTAGATTTAGATTCACCTGTAGAGTAGATGAAAGGCTTTCTTATTTATTTGTTCTGGAACTGTTTCTTTTCTTTTTCTTTTTTTTGGTCCAGTTGTGGGGCTTGAACTCTGGGCCTGGGCACTGTCCCTCAGCTCTTCAGCTCAAGGCTAGCGCTCTACCACTTGAGCCACAGCGCTACTTCCGGCTTTTTTCTTTTTGCTTATGTGGTGCTGAGGAATCAAACCCAGGGCCTCGAGCATGCAAGGCAAGCACTCTACCACTGAGCCACCTTCCCAGCCCATCTGGAACTGTTTCTAAAGCAGACACTACAATATCCTTGTTAAACTTTCTCTTCTTCCTGGCTTTGTAATTCAGTTATTATTGGAGGAGTGTATTAGAAATTATTACTCTTGTGGCTCAGTTAGTGGGGGAAATGGTTCTGTCACTGAACTGGATGACACCTGTGAGTTGAGCACCTAGGAACCCTTGACCGGCTCAAGATTCGAGGATTCTTCAGCCTGTTTGGGGAAGTGACCATCTTTCTCTGGAGTAAAATATCCCAAGACCCATTCTGGGATTGGCAGATGATTGGTTTAGAGTTGAATTTTGAGACATCTGTCGGTTCTAAGGAGACCAGATTACTCAGAAGGGAGGCAACGGAGCCGTACCAGCCCAGGGCTTCTCTGAGCCAGGGATCTGGGTATGTGAAGCAACAGAGAGCCCTCCTGTGGGTCGTGTCGACCTGGCCCCACGACCCACGCTGGCTGTGCCACCTTTGGTCAGCTCTGTGTTCTGGACAGGTGAGGTGTCTGCAGGTGTTCAGGTGCCTACCCGATCCGAGCTAGGCCTTTCTAGAAGAGACAGGAGGCTTTCATTCCTTGAAGGACATTTCACTAATTGGTGTTGTGGAGCTTGCCGTGGGAGTAACAGGACGAGAAGCCCGTCTCCCTGGAGGAGAGGAACGCTTTGTTCAAGCAGGTCTATTTCATAACACAAGGCCTCCTGGGACAGAGACTGACATGTTATGCAAGCTCCCTGTGCAGCTAAGGGCCCCGTTCTTCTAGGTCAGACCTGTGGCTGTTCCCCTCTGCCTGGTTCTCATGAAGATCCACGACGTGTGCTTGCCAACTGCCAAGAATCCCATGCGCCCATGGTGTATTGTTCAGATTGTGTTATGTGTTAGCCAGAGGTGGTGTGGGGTGGGGCACACGGGTACTGGGGTTTGAACTCAGGGCCTTACACTCTTGCCTGACTTTTTTTTCCACTCCAGGCTAACACTCTACCACTTTGGCTCTTTGAAATGATTAAGTGGAGATAAGAATCTCATGGACTTTTCTACCTTGGTTGGCTCTGAACTTCTATCCTCACATCTCAGTCTCCTGAGGGCTAGAATGACAGGTGTGAGCCACCAGTGCCTGGCTCAGATTGCATTTTTACCGATGATGGCTGTAGTTAAATGGAGCCTCTAAGCGCTGTTAGAATTCCAATCTGCTCGTTAGGAGAACAGACAGCTGGTGACTTGAGAAGTCTTCGCTTTGATGGGACTGCAGATGTGCTCAAATCTGTGGTATGTTGAGGAGTTGGCTCTTTGAAAAACAGGTGTGTGTGTGTGTGTGTGTGTGTGTGTGTGTGGCATTGACTGGCTATGGCGGTTAAATGCTCCTCAGAGCAGCTCCAAGCGGGGTCAGCCTGCCCCTCTCGAGCCCCATTTCCTCTTCTGGATATGGAGACTGGGATAAGAAGGGTGGGAAACTGCTGTCATCTGGGGGAAAGGTTCTGATGCAATCTCCACTCTCAGCCTGGGGTCCCTGTCCTACCCCCTGCTGCCCCCCCTTAGGGCCCATCCTTGCAGCCCAGACCCTCTGCAGAGGTATGTGGTCCTCCTGGAGTGGCCTACCGGGTCAGAGGGGCACGGGCGACGGTGAAGTGAATAGAAGTGCAGGACAAGGGTTGAAGTCACTTATTATTTTCAGTTGTGGCTTCAGGAATACAAACACATGGCCCACAGCACCATGGACAGGCTGCCCGCATGGAGGGCAGGTCTCGGGGTCCATGTGCTGGAGTCAGCTCCTGTCTGAGATGACTCTGAACACTAAACAGCCTCACTGTGAAGAGGGGAGAGTCTTGGCAGTGTCGTGGCTGCCCCCGGTTGGCGCTGATTAATTTACAGCCATGAGGACCCTCAGAGACACCAGCTTGAGGGAACCCCGCCCTCTGTCTCTTTAGAATCTCCCTCTCCCCTGCTTCCTGGTTTGCCTTTTGGTGCTCATCAGATCTGGCTCTCCTCTATGATTTAACCTAACCGGGAAAATTCATGTACCTCTGGTTCTTGGCATACAGCTGACACCAGGAAACGTGATGCAGGTGGATTCCTGAGCTTCAGGGGAAACCAGCTGACTCTGCCATGGACGCCTGCAGTGGGCCTGGACCTCACTGTCCCCGTGCCAGGCAGAGGTCAGGCAGAGGTCAGGCCTGCAGGCACACCTAAGGGATCCGTGAACACTGACCACAGGACCACGAGCCACACTTTCTCTCCTGGCTGGCTTTTCATGTGAACAGACACACAGCAGACTCTCGTCATCCCTCCCTCCGTCTTTTGCTTTCTCTCTCTCTCTCACTCCCACTTTGGCCTCAGTCTTACTGAGGCAGAAATGTCTTATTAGAAGGTATTTCTCCTGCCATGCATTGGAAGTATCCAGAGAGTCAATTACTGATCAGCTGTGATGGACTTATTCCTACATAGAAAATCCTGTGACCCAATTTACTGACATTTAAAAAGGCCTATCTGCTCCTAAAGGAAAATGAAATAAACTTACCAATTTACTGCAAGGTTTATAACAGAGAAATTACCCTTTTCTTGCATTGATACCGGCATACTTATTTGGGGAAATTACCATTGAAAGTTCTGAAAATTCAAGGGGACCTGATGAGGCTCAGATATCATTCTGTGTGACTCTCATATAATCAAACACAACTTACCCCAAACTCAGGATGGCAGGTCCAGGGTTATCTGTTGCAAGAAATTTACAGAAGAAATAGCACCATAAAACCCCAGGAGTATCAAGTTGCAGGAGTTGTTTTCAAAATTTCCATGTTCCAGAATGAAACAGGTAGCGGCTGCTTGACCTGTCCGTCAGGAAACATTAGAGATGGATTCCCTTACACCCAGAGTCCTGTGGGGCTCAGTTACAGCTCCGGCAGGACGAGGTTAGGGGACCGGCGGGCAGGGGCAGGGGCGGGAGGCAGGGGGAGGCAGAAGAGAAAAATCAATTCACATTACTTTGATGCCAGTGACTTGGAGTCTTCACTGAAGAACAGAGTGGAGTTTCCAGGATGCTGGCAGCCCGGACAGGTGCGGCTGGCTCTCAGATCTCAGAAGAGAATCCCAAGTTAAGGAAGCAGTCTGTATTTGCTGTTGGGGGGAAAGACAAATCTCCCAAGAAAGCCTCTGAAAATGTCAAGGACGGCAGCCCCAGCGCCTCAGGGCAGAGCCAGCTCAGGGCCCGGCAGCTGGCTCTGCTTCGGGAAGTAGAGATGAACTGGTACTTGAAGCTCTGTGACCTGTCCACTGAGCAGACGACAGCTTGTGTCACGGGCATGCCGCACAGGTGAGCTCCTCGTTCCTCAGTGGGCTCCAGGCTGGGCTCTGGGCTGGGCTGGGCCTCAGGAGAGGCCCCTGGCAGATGCTCTGGAAAAGGGAAGCTTTGCTTTTTTCTTCCCTGCTGGGAAGCGCAGGCCCCCATGACTGAGCCTGCAGGATGCCCATTGCAAAGTGCAGGGCTCAGGCAAATGGGCTCCATGGCTTGTTTTCTAGAAAGCACCCCCCTCCATCCCTGCTGCCCTGCCTTGGGAAGAGGCTGGCAGGCAGAGAGTTAAGGTTTTTCTCAGGTTAAAAGTCAGAGGAGGAGTTCAGAAATTGTTGGAAAATGTCTGGCAGACTTGGCAACGGTCTGGTTTCCTGTGAGAAGCTGGGATGGGAAGGATGTGTTTTGCCTTGAACACATGGTTAGTGGACACTTGCAGTGGGGCAGGGGTGGGGGCCGGGCAGGGTCAGGGTCCTGTGAAGATGTGCACCCCTGCAGACTCCCTCAGCCTCAGATAGTACAAAAGAAGGATCACCTCACAAACCCAGTAATAAAGGAAAGCATTCAGGGAGAACAAAGTGTCTGTTGGGACCAGAAACTCAAAGCTGCTTATTTCCTGTGATTTGTAAAATAAATAAATAAATAAGAGGTAAGGAGTTAAAGACAATTTTGCAAGGGGAATCACTGTGAATGTAATGCCAGAAAGACAGTTTTCATGAAATAATAATACAACTTCTTTGAGAATTGAAAAATAGTCTTTAACGAACTGGTCAAAATGTGGAAAAGGTCTTTTGCAGAGGTTGGGCACTAACCTGGAAATTCTGCAACATAATTTATCTGTGAAAGCATCCGACATAGAATTAAGTCTGAACATTGCTAGACACACCCCAAAATGCTTGTACTTACTTGGAATAAAGTAGATGCTTCCCATTCTAAGCCACAATTCAAAAACCAATATGCACAAAGTAGAACAAAATAAGCCTTCTGGAAATGTTCTGGGAAATCGTTTACTGTCCTGTGATGGCCGGGGTGCCAGGGCTGGGGGCTGTGAACCAAGAACCCCGGGGAAGGTGAGCTCATCTGAACAAGGCTCCAGTGAAACTGGCAGCGTTAGAAGTGATTTCAGCTCACAACTCATTTCTCAAATCATTACATAACCCTCACATCTATAAATGTTGAAGCTATTATTAAAGAGCCTCTGGGGGAAAAATGTCAAAGGAAAGCCTTAATAATGGTTTCTTTCCATAATATATTCTGCGACTCACTTTGGACTTCCATTTAGACTCTAACACGGGAACGCAAAATCCCTGCTCTATTACATGACCCCATTTATCACGTCAGAGGGGATCATCAGTGAGATAATGAAGTTCAGTGGAAAACACATCTCTCCTCTTTTCTGCTTAAACAACAGCGACTTGTCCTAGAGTCAGAAAAGATTGGCTAGGAAATGGAGCTGTAGCTCAAGTGGTAGAGCACTAGCCTTGAGCTGAAGAGCTGAGGGACAGCACCCAGGCCCAGAGTTCAAGCCCCATGACCGACCAAAAAAAAAAAAGAAAAGAAAAGATTGGCTAAAGTGTAATTCCGCATGAACACCTTCTAGGGTCCTCTGCAGGCCAGTGCTGTTCACGGGTGGGCAACAGCCCCTTGCTTCCCATGTGTGTTAGAGAGTGTGTTAAAGAGTGAAGTCTTTCATCATCCAAGGTGAAAAATGCTCGTCCTTCTTTATTTTTGCAGCATGGCCATTTTGAGAAGGAAAGATTGTGTGTTGCTGGAATTTAGTGCATTTAAAAATTACATGACTAATTTGCAGAACTGGGTGTTTGCATAGCTCAGAAAAGTGAAGGCAATTCTCATTGGTAGTTCTTTCCTCTTCATTCCCCAGTGCTCAGAATTCCTCCCTTGATGTGACTGGACAATGATGGTGACCTATTATTTTATTGTCTCATAAGTTAATGTCAGCAGCAGAATGTGCTGTTCCTCAAGTTGCCTTTCTGTAGATGGGTTTGAGGACGCTTCCAGAAGGCTTCCTGGACTCCTAGCTATGTTTACTTCCCGCTGCATGACAGGAAAATGATAGCGCCACTGGTGATTTGTGTGCAGCACAGAAACCTGCTTCACTTATGAAATATGAACAAAACTATCTGTAAAACATTACCTAGGGTGGAACATGGAAGAATCCTTAAAGACATTGCATGTTTGTTATAGCCTCCCATGGGTCTTCAGTTACTGTCCACCGAGGGATGATGGGAAATGTAGTCCAAGTGCTCAGCTAGGAAGAGAGGAAAATGGGCTTTGGGAGCAGCTGGGCCTCTGCCACTGAGAGGTGTTGGAACAGAGTCTGGCTCTTTCCCCAAACACAGAGGACCAAGCCAGGCCCTTGTTCAAAGCCCAATCTAGAGACCTGGCCTGGCTCAATGTCTGTGTCTCTGGGGGGGTAGAGCCACCCTCTCTGGAGCTCCTGGGTGTGGAGGAGACCCCGGAGAGCTGCAGGCCAACCTGGCTGGGCACAGGGAAACGCCGGGGCCAGACTGGGGCTGAGGTGTCCTGAGGGGTGGGGTCCCATGGACGCCCAGCCGGGAGCGCTGGGTGGGAGCCAGGGCGGCTCACCAGTCAGGCTGCGGTTACGGAGCCAGAGTGCTTTGAACAGGATCTTCAACCACAGCATGCTCCAGTTCCTAGTGACAAACCCCTCCAGGACTCCCTGTGAGAGTGGCCAGACAGTCTGTGCACAGAAGGCCAACCCAGCCTGGCGTTGTGTCTAATCTCATTTAAAAACAACAACTGCCTGGCCCTCACTGCAGTCTGACATTTTCCTTCTTGGCTCCTTGGACAAGATGTGTGGAAATGTGGAGGGGCTGCTTAGGACAGTTAAGAGTTTCTCAGTTAAAACAAAGAACCAAAGCCAAAGTGCATTTTGTATCTGAATTTTCTAACTTAATCTTGTTACATCAATGAATGTTAGGAGTGCCACAAGCTGTCCCAAATCATGGTTGAATTATTTGATTGTCCCTAGAACTAAAGAGAAACTAATCCACACAAACAATTCCTGAGGGGGGGGGGGGCTGGGAAGGTGGCTCAGTGGTAGAGCGCTTGCCTTGCATGCCTGAGGCCCTGGATTCGATTCCTCAGCACCACATAAGCAAAAAGAAAAAGCTGGAAGTGGCGCTGTGGCTCAAGTGGTAGAGCTAGCCTTGAGCTAAAGAACTAAGGGACAGCCCAGGCCCAAAGTTCAGGTCCCACAACCGAAAAAAAAAAATTCCTGACGGGAGCTGTTTTTGAAAGAGCAGCCTTCCCTGTCCCCAAGTTAGTGTAGGAATTAGGAGACTATCCACACGCCTGCTGAACAAAACATTAAGTGTTCCAAACTGTTTGTAATATTTTATGTTCCAGATGGTCATTTATGCAAGGTAGTATTAAGTTTAACTGTGTTTTAAAAATATTTTCTGATGAATGAATATCCAGTGGAGTCAACATTCTATACCAGTTGAGAAACATGGGAGCAGGAAATGTGTCCTATTCTGGGCTCTTCTTTTACTACCATCCAAGCGATGATGAACTAATCTATGGTACTTGGACTATGAAATTAAACAGCATTCATTTGAGAGGTCTGGATATCATGTTCCACTTCTAAGATTTCAGAGATTGTCCAGAAGGACATCCAGTCTCAGGATTCTCACTAGGACTGTGGTCCTACCATTTGTCCCCTGTGTTTTCCTAGAATACGTTTTATTTCACTTTTATATACTTTTTCACTTACTTCTTATTTTTCTCCTCGTTCATAATCTACTTTCAACTTTTATACAAATACAAGACTCACGTCAAGGACCCGTTTCTCCTTTATTTTGGTATTTCATCGTCACTCCAGTGGGGATGTCTTCCCCCACAGACTTGCTCTCAGACTTTTGCTTTTTTTTTCTGTTGTTGTTGTTATAAAAATCAGTTTTCCATATTTGTGTGAGCTTTTTGTTTTTTAAACCCACCAAACTGATTTCTTCGTATCTCTTGACAGCAGCATCTGAAAACATGGAAATGTTTAATGAACTTTTCACCCAAATGAATCACGGAACCATCATAAAAATTATTCAGTTATGAACACTTGGTCCTTTGGCGATGTCTCACTCCGCAGTGAAGGATCACACCAAGACCTTGTGTACGGTCTTTGTGAACACAGATCATTGGCCCCCAGCCGAACACATTCTTCCCTTTCTGTCTAAATAGAGAGGCGTGGGAAAGGGCCCTGCGCTCCTTCTCAGGTCAGTGTGTCCTTGTTTGGCTTTCAGACCTTTGAAGAGATGAGGGGAATGGCTGGCCTCCACCGGCTCTTCTTTTTTGGCCAGGTCTTGGCAGAGCTGTACCCAGCAGCTCCGCTGGGACCGAGTCTGTTCGAATCCACAAAATAAGGAGACAGGAAAGCAAGCTGATTCCTTTTAGGGACACTGGAAGCCAAGCAGCCCAGCCAAGCGGCGCCAGTGTTAGCGCCGAGGTCTGCCTGGGAAGCATGCACCTTTACAAGCCGGCCTGCGCGGACATCCCCAGCCCCACGCTGGGGATGGCCCGGTCTGGCGAGTCTGCCCTGAGAGGCAGACGCCAGCACGCAGTGGTCAGGGCTCCGGCCCAGGGCGCTCGCTGGCCGGGCAGGCCTGGCGCGGCCGTGGAGCCCGGGCATCTGGAGAGGTTTCTGCGTGCCCACGGCCTCTCCTTTCAGGAAACGACGAAGGCAAAGACAGGCATGGTGTACAGGTACCGTGAATCGCAGTCCCCACCTCTGTGCACCCAAATCCAGCACTGTTGCTGTCCTCAGGATGGGACAGCGATGCACTGGGTCCCTTCCTTGGCTTGCCTTTGCTGAACTTTTTCTTCTTCCTCTTCTTCCTCCTCCTCCTCCTGTTCCTGCCCCTCCTCTTGCTCCTCCTCCTTTTCTTCTTTGGTTGGTTGTGGGGCTTGAACTCTGGGTCTGGGCGCTGTCCCTCAGCTCTTCAGCTCAAGGCGAGTGCTCTACCACTTAGATCACAGCGTCACTTCCA